ATGTATTGTCCGAACCATTATCAATCATATTTAACAAATTATTTCAATCAGGAACAATACCTAAAATTTAGTCATGCGCCAATATTATTACATTGTTTAAAAAAGGGAGCAAACTTGATCCAACTAACTATAAACCTGTCTCATTGACATCTGTTATGTGTAAAACAATGAAGAGGATTGTTAGGGATGAGATGATGAAACATCTAACAAATAACAATTTAATTAACGTGAACCAACATGGCTTTGTAAACAAAAAAATTGTGTTTCAAATTTGTTGAAAACATTCGATTATATTACAAGCTCAGTTAATGAAGGTTGGCCATTGGTGATCCTATTTCTGGACTTCGCTAAAGCATTCAATTCGGTAGACCATGAGAAGTTATTACTTAAATTAAAAAGCCTTGGATTTGGTAGTTTTGAATCAGATTGGGAGGAAGTTGTGAGCGGCATACCACAAGGTTCAGTTTTAGGTTCTCTCTTATTTGTTGTAATTATTAAAGACATAACGAAAAGAATCAAATCACTTTGTAAAATGTTTGCTGATGACGCGAAACTCTTACGAGCTATCAAAGATGTGAATGATTCAATTGAACTACAACAAGATATTAATTCATTAGTAGAATGGTCAAATGAGTGGTCACTAAAACTCAATAAACAAAAATGCAAAGTAATGGTATTTGATAATAGTCAACAACAATTCGAATTTATGATCGAGGACGAAAAATTAGTGGTTACATGTTTGGAAAACGATTTAGGAATTCTAATTTCAGACGATTTGGAATGAAATAATCATGTAAACTGTGCAGTGAATAAAGCGAATCAAAAACTCGGTCAAACCAAACATGTTTTCCGTTATATGAATGAGATTATGATGAAGATGTTATTTGTCTCATTAGTTAGACCTCACTTAGAATATGCAACCACAATTTGGAACCCGTACTGGCAGTATGATAAGGATAAATTAGAGAAAGTCCAACAAAGAGCAACTAGAATCGAAAGTTTACGAGGGTATAGCTATGAAGAGAGACTTAAAAAACTAGATCTATTATCGCTTGAAAATAGAAGAAAAAGAGGGGATTTAATTCAAATGTTCAAATACTTTAAAGGATATGACATAATTAATTTCCACCGTCCACCAGAAATTATTGATAATGAAAGAAAAACAAGGGGTCACAATTTGAAATCTTTCCTTTCCAATCGTAGTATAAAAGTTGTCCTTGATGGACAGCACTCTTCTTCTTATTCTGTAACCTCAGGGTTTCCCCAAGGTTCAATCCTTTGCCCTATACTCTTTTTAATTTACATTAACGATCTTCCAGATATTCTCACATCTAAGGTGGTATTGTTCGCTGATGATACTACCATTTATTCTTGTCACGATAAGAAGCCAACTCCCTCTGATTGCTTGCAGGGGGCATCTGAGCTCGAAAAGGATCTCACTTCTGCTACAGCATGGGGCTCGCAGTGGCTGGTGAACTTTAATTCAGATAAAACTCAATTTTTTTCGGCCAACCGTTATCGCAATAATTTACACCTTCCTATATTTATGAACGGTAATGTACTCGATGAGTCTCCTACCCTTCATCTTCTAGGATTAACTCTTACTTCTGATCTTTCTTGGAAACCTTGTATCAAATCCGTTGCAAAATTAGCATCTGCTAAAGTTGCTTCTCTTTATCGAGCTCGTCACTTTCTTACTCTGGATTCTATTCTCTATCTCTATAAATCTCAAATCCGGCCTTGTGTGGAATACTGTTGCCATATCTGGGGCGGATCTTCTAATGATGCCCTTTCTCTTTTAGACAAGGTGCAAAAACGCATTGTAAACATAGTTGGACCTGCTCTTGCAGCCAACCTTCAACCTCTGTCACATCGTAATGTTGCTTCTCTTTCTCTTTTCTACAAATACTATAATGGACACTGCTCTAAAGAGCTAGCGTCTCTTGTGCCATCTACTAAAATTCATTCTCGTGTTACTCGTCATTCAATTAAGTCTCATCCTTTTTCTGTTACTGTCCCTAAGTGCTCCAAAAACTCTTATTCGTCTAGTTTTTTCCCTCGAACATCAGTTCTTTGGAATTCGCTTCCTTCATCTTGCTTTCCTGATTCATATAATTTGCAATATTTTAAGTCGTCTGTCAATCGTTATCTTGCTCTACAATCTTCGTCTTTTCTCTTCCAGTAACTTCCAACACTAATTAGTGATTGCTTGCAACCTCGTTGGGAGCGAAGATAATTAAAAAAAAAAAAAAAAAAAAAAAAAATATATATATATATATATATATATATATATATATATATGTATATACATATATATATATATATATATATATATATATATATATATATATATATATATATATATATACATATATATATATATATATATATATATATATATATATATATATATATATATATATATATATATATATATATATATATATGTATATATATATATATATATATATATATATATATATATATATATATATATATATATATATATATATATATATATATATATATATATTATATCCCATTTTAAATATCTTAAATCATTTGTTATTTTAAAAACTTTTACTTGCTTATGTTCGTTATAATCTTACAGAACTTATCTCTTATACGGAATAAAACTTTTTTAAAAATATTTCGTTCCATTCTATTAATTTCCATTCTACAAAATAAACAAATCAGCGCTTTCGTAAATTGTCGTATTTACCGAACTTATGGGGGGGGGGGGGGGTGCGTCGTGTACAAGTCCGCCAAAAGCAGTTAATACTTTTTTTCACATATTTCCTACTTGAAATATGTGAAAATTTATTTCCACGCATTGATTTTAACATTTCTGTCTTTGTATGTAAGATATGATATCATTTAAAATGATATAATCATTTTTTGATATAATAATTTACGGCCCGTAACCAGACATTTTTTTAGGTGGGTTACAAATTTTTTTCTGCGCCCCACTGTTTTTTTAAACAAAATTTAACGGTCATTGTTAAGAAGTTTTATAATTATACACAAAATTTGCCGCAATTTTTAATATAATGTAAGTGAAAAATAAATAAACAACAAACTTGGTCGCGATGATAAGTATTTGATTAGTTACAACAATAATTATACGTCTAAAAAAAAGAAGACAAATTCTAATCTTCTTGGATGTAATTTTGCAAACTTTTAATGGCTACATCAAAATCAAAGTTTTAATCATAGTGGATGTGCATTAAAGCCAACTAAGAATGTCGTTCCTGTCCTTATGTTGCTCTTTGTACGAATAAAGGCGTCGAATTACTCTACATTGTGACTGGAAGAACACATCCAATCTGGGTTGGACTGGCGAGGAGGGTTTTAGGGGTTGGGGAATTCTCCCCCCCCCCCCCCATCCCGGGGCCCCTGTTATGTTTAAGCCTCTCTCAATTTCATGGGCTCCTAAAAAAGGCACCTAAGCAAAGGAAAATAAAAAGACCCTTGATATGAAATATGGGAAAATTTTTATATTTAAAGCAACCCTGAATCTCTGCCTCCCCCTTCCTTGCGGGCCCTTTAAGACAAGTCCGACCCTGCATCCAAGGAAAGAAGAATGTAAATATTTAAAAACGAATCTAGCTTTAATTCTTTAAGAGCACTATCAGCACTTAAGGGTCAATTATCAGGTTGATATCCAGGGCCGTGCCTGGGCATTTGGCCAGTTGCGTGTTGTATAGCCGCCCCCTTAAAGTAACAAATAATAAAAAAAAAAAGTTCTTGTGACATGGATGTCCACAGATAATTTTTAATTATTTTCAGTTTTGAGAAACCTTTATCTCCTGAAGCAAACGGAAACTGGAATTTTTAGAAAACGGAAACTGGAATTTTTAGAAAAAACTTTAAACTCGTGGCGACATTTGGAAAAGACGTCTTCAAGTTGTATTTATATAAAATATTTAGGAGTTCTTCGGGCTGTTTTTTATCTTTTACGATTATTTTCAAAGAAATTATTTCTTCATACAATTCCACGCCATTGATATCACAGGATTCACCATCTTTAAATTTATCATGAAGATCGAAACAACTTTTTTTTATTACTTCATCTTCCATATCAATAAATTTGTAGAGAAATCCAAAACATTGTTCAAAATTCAACAAAGTTTTAAAACGGGTGGTAAGAGATGAAATAGCTGTGTCTAGTATTGCATAATAAGAATTAATTTGAAAATTTTCTTTTGGAGTAAATTAAATATCTTCTTCCCCGTCATAGCTAAATTGTTTTCGGTGACGTCGGCGACGTACACTAGTTTTAGCAGGAAAATCCGGTTCTGTTTCAACTGCTTTATAAATTTCATAGAAATAGTCTTTGTTATTCTCATTTATGAGAATAACAAAGAATTATCAAACGATTCAAATGAGCTATTAAAACGATAAAGCTTGTTTTTTTCAAAAAAAAAAACTATTTGTGGTTCAAGTGCCATAAAGTTATTCTAATACCAAAAATGAGGATATTTAAAAACACTATACTTTATTTTGGTCATGTAATAGTTTAATTAAAGTTTTTCTTGAGCATTTTATTTTTTAATTAGCATTTATGCACCTTATTTGAATTGTACGCACAGAAATTTTTTTAAAAAAGAATGAGACATGCTTTGTTGTTAAGCATATTTATTTTAAAATCAAACTGTAGTTTTATTTTATAATGCAGTGAGTTTTCTTAGCTTTTTAAAATTTTCAAGAACAAGCACTTTAATACTTATTTATTTAAATATTATTTGAACCTCCTTTTAAAGACATTTTTGTAATGCTATTTTAAATTACTTGTGAAAAAATTTAGATAAATTTGTTACATATGAAAATGAAACCAGAAGTCAATAAAAACAATTTTTAATTTCAGGTTTTATCATACTGTTATATTTGCCTAATAATTGTGGGTATGCAAGAAACATATAAAAAAAGGTTTTTTTTATATCATTTTAAAATTATCATTTTATTTAAAGAACATTTAAGATAAATAAAAATAAATTTACCTCTCTAAATAAACTTCTTTCTTCAGATAAACTTGCTATAGATAAACTTCCTTTTTCTAAAATTGAAAATATTTTTCACTTTTTGCATTACATATATAAAATGTAATTTATCTAATACTCATACAACTATTTATATATGTGCAACTGAGTCTTAATAAACAAGCATAGAAGTAGCTAAATGCTTGTCTAAATGTCACCTGACTGAATGTTTTGTTCCTTCTTCTAATTATTACAACTTCTTAGACTTTTGTCACATTCTCAGTAATAACAAACGATACAATTTTTTGGTTTGCAACATCGCAACCCATTTATTTGTACATTTATGTATAACTGCAATCAAAGATCTAAGAGAAGTAATTTTAACAGAAATCAAGTTATGTTAAGTTTACTAAATTTCCTCATTTTTCCTTCATTTTTATCTCCTCAATTAAATAAACATAGTTTTTATTTTTTTCACTTTAGGTTCAAAATGCTTAATTAACATTTTCTTTTTTTATATATCAAAATTGTTTTCAATTATCAAAATAAGGTTTTAAATAAAGTGTTTTGAATAAATTTATGATCAAAATTAAAATTAAAAAATGAAAATATAATTTAAATTTTAATTTAAAATTTAGCATGTTTTTTGTTCATAATACTCGTTCAAAAAATATGGTAGACCAAAGTAAAAAACCTTTTAAAAAATTTTTAGAAAATATATTTTACAATAACCTTGATTAATAGCCAAAATTTTTAGCACATAAATTTTTTTGAAAATATTTAATTACCACTAAATAATACTATAGCAAACTCGTTATTTACTCTGCACTATTACATGATATGATATTTTATAAATCATGTATCTGGATAAATATCTGACATATTACGTTCATAAATGGTTTTCAAAAACTTCTTTGTATTTTATCTTTTAAACTAAGTGCAGATTATTTCACTTCAGGATAATGTCTTTCTGTAAGCTAAGCATATATATTGCTGAAAATGAAGTTAGACAACTATAATGACATTAGGTTCTGAAGTCAATATCATAGAGGTCATATTTATATTTAAAATTTTGATTTTTTTCTTTTTGAAAATATTTGCACTGATTGTTTTTTGCAATTTTTGACTTAATTTGGACAAGTTTCTAAGATTTGACGCAAATAGATTCTGATGTCAAATCCAGTTAGATTTTTAACTATATTTTTTTTATATGTTCCCGTACCAAAAAAAAACATTGTGTTTTTCAATTTAAGAAATATATATAGTACCTATCTTTCACTGATTACAATAGATAAATTAACAATTAGGTTATTGTAAAGAAGTTTTTTGTCGAAGAAGATCAAAGAAGTCATTTCCAGTCATGCGACAAACTTTATTATTTTTTTAAAAAAAGTTGTTTTAGCACCACATTACTTTATTATTACTAGGGTGGCGCAAGAACAACTTTTTTTTAAAATGTTTGCTGACACCCCCTAAATGTGTTCTATATAATAAAATATTACTGGATTTAAAAAATTTTTGAATAAAAAATGTTTATAGGGGTGCAACAAGACCCTTAAACATCAAACAAAGACAAGTTATCAAAAAAATGTTTTTCAAAAGTATTAAATTATATATTTTTTTCCTTGTTTTTTTTTTGTTTTTTTTTTAGTTTTGTTTTTTTCTTGATATTTTTTATAAAATAATGATTATTTTTGAAACTTTTTATACAAATTTGCTTCATTTGAGGCCCAACATGACATATAGGTATTGGATCAAAATTCAAATTATTAGAACCATTAAATATGTTTTGAGTTATGGACTCATAGCTAAATAGTAAGGGAGCATTCGCCGTAGCTAGCTCCTTGTATCTACTCTTCTTTTTTAATGGTTAATTACAAGAACTCTTTGTTTAGAAATTAGAAATGTATTTCTTGTTTTAAGAAAAATATTTTCAACCAAGCAATTTATTTTTTAAAACAAGAAATATTTTTCTCATTTTGAGAAATAAATTTTTTAAACTATGGGTTTACGGATTTTGGTTTTACACTTTTCGTGGATTTACAAATTTACTGTGAGTTCTGATGAGCTGTTAGCAACTTTAAAAAATTTTCCAATTTTCAATTGTATCCAAATAATTTGAGGGAGTCTCATCCTCAGGCATTTTTTCAAATTAGGACCTAAAATATCAAAAATTAACCAGGAGTCTGGTGAAATATACAACTCAAGCTCTATTGCGTCAGAGCAAAATTGAGATCAATTGCAGATGGTTGTGTTTTTTCATTTAAAAAATAACTTATATTTATTAAAAGATAATACTTTATATTTATTAAAATATATTAATTTATTAAACTTATATTTATTAAAAGACTTTATTTTAAAAAAGTATAATAATAGTTTTTTTTTTCATTTATAAATAAGTTATTGACATTTTTTTATTTTGTCCGATAGTTTACGTATCACCCGTTTTAGTTTTATTTTAAAACTTTTATGTTCTTTCAGGTTCCTGCAAGTTTTGGGCGCCATTAGAGTCTATTTTTCAAATCAAGTGCCCTTAACATATTGGTGATTATATTGCGACAGCACCGTCTCATCGTTTGCATCAACTTCATTCAAGCTCTAATTCAGAGATTTAAACAGTTTATCTCCGGCTTAACAGTTTTCTTTACGGCTACGGTTATACAAAGTTATCTGACATAATGGCAGGAGGTTAACAAGAATAAAGATGGTCATGAAACGTAGCTAACCTTGCACAAACCCCTATTAAAGAGCCAATGTTTGAAGTTGGTGAACTGTCTAAGATTAAAAAAATCTAACAAATTTTGAATTGCTGTGTATAGAGCCAGATCGCTATGGTGTTTATGTAATATATTGATGTATATAAATATATGAATATATACAGAATTATATATATATATATATATATATATATATATATATATATATATATATATATATATATATATATATATATATATATATATATATATATATATATATATATATATATATATATATATATATATCAGTGGCGGATTGAGGTTTAGTGTCGCGGGGGCCAAGTCAATAAATAGGGGCGACCGGGGTTGCCTTCAGTAATTTAATCTTATATATATATATATATATATATATATATATATATATATATATATATATATATATATATATATATATATATATATATATATATATATATATATATATATATATATATATATATATATATGCTTTCATATTCATCATTAGAAAAATGTTGTTTTTTGTTAAGCTTTGAAAGAAAATACTTTATTTTAGCTGCATAACTTAAAGTGGGATCAATGCTAATAATTTTTGTTGGGCCAATCTGTTCACTAATTTTTTTTAATTGCTTTATCATGTTGTATTCTTACGAATCCTGCTCCTTTATCAAATGGATAAGTGTCAATTTTCTTGTCTTGATTAATTTCTTTGAATGCTTTTCTTTTATCTCTCGTTTGATCGATTTGATTTTCAGGCATCTTGGCATCACAAAGATTTAAAATCGTGTTTTTAGTGTATTTCGTTGATTTCTTATTACTTTTGTTGTAATTGAATTCACTTTGAAGTATTTTGAACTTTTTAATTAATTGTTCTTTAGATTTTATAAACGTATTTTTGAGAGCTTTTTCAATGATAAATAGCACTTCATTATAGTCTTTGTCTTCAATCTTATTTTTAAGATCTCTCTCGAGGTTTTTAGTAATATTTATAAGATTAAAGTATTGTTAATGCTACGCTAGGTTTTGTAACTTAAAGCAAGCGGAACAGTTCAAAAAAATACTTAACAGACAACATCCTTCTTTAAAATATACTATTGAAGTTGAAAACAAAAATAAATTACTTACCTTTTTGGATATAACTGTTATAAATAATACACATGGAAAATATGAGTTCAAGGTTTATAGGAATCATGCTATAACCAATATCCAAATCAAACTTCATTTTAATTCCAATTCCAAAATTTTGAAAACAATGTTCAACTGATACATACACAAAGCATACTCAATATGGAGCGAAAACCATTTAAAAGATGAGATAAAATTTTAATTTAAGTGTTTACTGAAAATGGTTACGATGAAAAAATGGTTAAAGATATTTCTTATCAGGTTCGCAAAAAACATTTAGTGAATAAAAATTAAATTCTATCAAACTCTAATAACCTTCCTACAATCTCTTTACCGTGGATAACAATAAGATCTCTCAGACTTAGAAAAATATTCAGAAAAGCTGGTTACAGAACTATTTTTAAATCAAATAATAACCTAAAAACGCTATTAAAGTCTAAAAATAAATCAAAATTATCACGCAATAGCACCCCAGGAACCTGTTTAATTAAGTGCAAATGCTCCAAAATGTTGTTGGAAAAACAAAACTTCAAATACGAACAAGGGTTCAACAACACCAAAAATTTTCGACTAAAGGCAAGTTAAACCAATCTGCATTAGCTTTGCATAAAGTAAATTGCAATAAGAACATTGAATGGAATAAAGTAGAAACACTTAAATTTGAGGGTATAAAATTTGAAAGAAAAGTCCGTTAAGGCTTGGGGACAAAAACATCAATGTTCTCTAATGTACAGTGGTATGAATTTGAAGAATGGACAATATGTAAAAACAAATTTTTGGACTTCATTTTTTTTATACTTAAGTAAAAGAAGCCATTATAAAGGTGACAAATTTAAAATTTATGTTTTTATTTCACGGTCACAATTTTTGTAATTAATTATTTAGTATTGAGAGAATTCGTATTATCTGATGTTTTAAATAATGTTTTATATATATATATATATATATATATATATATATATATATATATATATATATATATATATATATATATATATATATATATATATATATATATATATATATATATATATATGCATATATATATATATATATATATATATATATATATATATATATATATATATATATATATATATATATATATATATATATATATATATATATATATATATATATATATATATATATATGTATATATATATATATATATATTGGTGTTCCAAAATAACCAAAGTTTAAAAACGTCGATCTCCTCAGCTGTTTTAAATTTC